GGCTCCCGCGGCGGCGGCGGCCGGGGGCGGGAGGGAGGAGACCCTGGCTTCCCAGGGGGCCCGGCTGGGGCAGACGCGAGGGGCCTGGGGGGGCGCTGGCTTTGGCCCCGCCTGGGGCAGGATGGTGAATCTGGAACCCATGCACACAGGTGAGGCGCAGAGGGAGTGAGCTCTGACAGGTGTCCCTGCGCGCGGGAAGGGGCCGAGGGGCGCCGTTCTCGGGGGTCTTACGCCCCAGCGGCCAGGAGAGGGCAGTGTGGATAGCGGGTCACCCGGGGCGGGCGTAGGTAGGCGGATGGCTGGGGGACCTTGGCAAAGAATGAGGTTCAGGGCTGCAGTCGGGGTGGGAGACCTTCGAAGCCCACCCCCCTCGCTCTCACAGCTGGAGAGCAGCAGATGTGTGCGACTTGGGTGCCCTGAAGTGCTGTAGTCTGGATGAGGTTGCCCTGATCACTGACTGCAGAAGGGCGGCTCACTCACTCAGCCAGGGGTGTGGACCTGGGAGTGCATAAGTGAGGAAAATGCATGTATCCACATGTTATGTGTTTGGTGTCCCGAGCATTTATGTGAAGTGGAGGCAAAGTGACATTTGTAAGGGCTGGGGGTGGGCTGGGGGGCCTAGGAGGGGTGAGTGGGGCCGGACAATTACAGAGGCACACCTGGGGTGGGTGCCACGCCATACATGAATTGATTAGGGCTTGTGGAAGTATGTGTCCATGTGTATCAGAGGTGAGTCCACCTGTCCCCGTGTGTGTAGGGAGAGGAGGTGGAGCGGACCGTGTGTGAAGGGGTGCCCACTCACATGCTCTGTGGGTCTTGGCAGTGCTCTAGGCTCAGTGCGTGGGGGGCTGGGGAGTCCGTGTGCCGGTGCTGCTCGGGAGCTCTGTGGGACCCTGCAGGAGGAGCAGCCTGCACAGGGGCCTGTGGGATAGGTGCTTCCATCTCTGTGTCTGAGAGGGGGTGGTGGAGATACTTCCTCTGTGTTCCATGTTTCACAGGTTCGGATACCAAGCCCTCTTTTCCTAAGGGGAGGGACCCCAGGAGATGGAAATGCTTTTCTGGGAGTTGTTTCCCCTGTGTGAATGGTTTACGTGCATGGAGTGGGCCAAGGCCCCTCCATTCGCCCTGCTGATCCCTCCTTTCACAGCAGGGCTAGGACCGGAGCTAATGCTGAAGGCTTGGGCTTGGGGTTAGGGTGGGCCTCCTGGAGGTCAGAGAGCCTGAGCAGAGAACAGGCTTGAGGTGAAGAAAGCTGAACCTGATTTGGCCATTTGAGACCAGCAACTTGCCTCTCAAAGGGCGCAGCACCCAGGGAACTTTATTTAGCATTTCAGAGCTATTGATGGGAATTTTGTTACCTGCTTCCTTTCTAAGGGGTAGGGAGGAAGAGTGGGCGGAGGCATTCTCCTGACCCACCCCAAGGCACGGAGCAGGCTGGGGGCTCTGGCCCTTCCTGGAGCCCACCAGTCCTGAAAACAACTGGCAGGGGATGCCTGGGACAGATGCCTAGTCCACAGTTGCCCAGAGCAGTCCCAGCAGGGCTGAACGAAAGGCAGGCTGACAGAGAGGTGTTGACTCTGAGTGGATCTCCAGGTGCCAGGACATGCCAGGAAGGGCTAGGTGAGGCGGAAGGAACCATCTAACTGAGTGTCATCCAAAGTTTGGGGAAAGTCCGTTTCCAGACCCTGTGGCACCAACACGGAGCTGGGCAGACCTGGGCGCAGACCCCCTGGTCTCCTTTCTTCACCTCCTACCAAGAAGGCCTGGGTTTGAATGAGAGCAAGCCTTCAGAGAGGTGGCCCCCAGCGGGAAGTTCTTTAGGACCAAGATCAAAGGCTTCCTGGGGGTTTTCCACCTCATTGTCTCCTGGAGGCTGCTGCTCTGGGGGAAGTGGGAGGAGATGGGACAGCTGGGACCCAGCCTAGGGGCTAAGAAGATTCAGCAGAGAGGAGGACAGCGAGTGAGATTAAAGTGAGAGGGCCAAGCCCCCCATGCCTTGGCCTTGGAGAAAGCTCCAGGCTGATGCTTTTCAGAAGCCCAGATACTACTGTCACGCCTGTGCCCCGTAAGCGGACACAAAGGGGTTCCAGACACAAAGGGGGAGATTGTGCTAACCCAAGGTGGGGTGACCCTTCAGGATGGGTCTCCATCTCTCTTAGGTGGGTTCCCTGATTCATCTCTCTGTGTTTACTTGCTGCCCCTCCCCAGCCCACTTCTGTAGTCTGGGCCTCAGAGCTGTCTGAGCCTCCCTATGAGGTTTCTGTCTTGGCCCCTCTGTGGTGTCTGGTTCCCCTTCAGTGGCACCTCAAAGAGATCTCTCAGTTTGGGACTTTCTGTGGAGTTCCTGTGACTGGGTCTCCATTTGAGGGTTCTCTTTGCTGGGTCTTCTCGATGGGTTTTTCAGGGTCATCTTTGTAGGGTCTTTCAGTGTAGGCTTTGCTGTGGGGTGTGTGAGGGAGGGTCCCTCTATGGAGTGTCTCATTATTGGGCCCTGTCTAGGGTCTCTCAGTCCAGGACCCTCTTTGTAGAAATTTGGTCTCTTGGGAGTCTTATTTTCCCCCTCACAGTAATCCTGTATCCTGCTGATTCTTTATAAACAGTACTTCCCTTGTGAATTCCCAGTCCTGGGCCCTTGGGGACTCCTCCTCATTGATTTACTGGAACAGTTTGGGTGGGGGAAGAAGGGGGAACAGGAGCACACAACCTAGGGTGAAGGCTTGAACCCAGGACCCCCCCTCAGCTCCAAGAGCACTGCAGCCCCCGGGTCAGCCTGTCTTTTCCCTCTGATAACCTGGGAGCAAGCCATGATTCAGGTCAGCCTGGGGCCTCAGTGCTTTGTACCTTATAGGGCATCTCTTGTGCAAGCAATCTGAGCAGGCATGAGGTCACCAGGCACAGGGGCACCCCAGTCAAGGAGGGGCTCCCCACTCCTAGGCAAAAAACAGGCAGAGGGGTAGGCAAGAGTCAGACAGCTAGGGAAGGAGAGAAGAGAGGGCGGAAAACAGTGGGAAGCCAGCCAGAGGAGGATACCTGGTCAGCCCCAGGACATCTCTTTTTCTGCCATTCTCCCTGTGAGCTGTTCCCCATCAGGGTTGGGAAAGAGGGATCAAGTCTCACAGACTGATACCAATTAAGCTCAGGAATAACACTTGGGTTGGAAGGCCTCTTTGTGCGAGGAAGTGGATTTCTCTTGAAGAAGAGGCGGGAGAAGTCTCCTCCAGGGGAGAGTTGGGGCCATGGCTAGCTCAGAAGTAGGACTGGTGGGTCCCTTGAATTCCCTCTGCTAGAAGTGCCCCCCATCAGTGGATGCGTGAGGGAGAAGTCAGGAGGGAGCGCCAGTCCCTTCCAAAAAAGTGAAGATGAACAGTAGGAGAGACAGAAGTGGGCCCTCTGCTTTCCTGGCATAGCCTGGACCAGGAGGTCCAGGACACTGTGGACACTCAGCCTGCAGCCTGGGGGAAATGCCACCCCTTGCACTTTGCTCCTGTGGACTCACACACACGCATCCTGGTTCACAGATATATAATGAGGGACTGCTCCCAGGTCCTGCCAAGGCACAGAGAGGGCAAGGTTGGCAGCCAACATCTTGCCCCAACTTGAGAGTGTGATGGTGCTGGTGAGGCAGGAGATGGTCTGTGTCTGGTATCTGGGCTCTTACACAGAGCATCTGAGCCTCCCCAGGGAAGAAAGTAATGTCAAGGAGCCTACTCAGTCGCAGCCTGAGATAAGAACAACCAAGAAGGCTGGCCCCACCCCATGACTCTCTCACTCACCCCTGGAGTGCTGTCCAACAGGCGAAGGGTTACGGCGTCTCGGGGAGTTTCAGTGTTGGCCCATTTTTAGGCTGAGACCCAAGAGCTCGTCCCACCCATCAGCCTCAGCCTCCTACCCAACAGGAACAGGTTCTCAGTATCAGCATCCTATGGAACTTAACAAGACCCCCAGATCATCTCAGCCTGCCCCTCCATTCATGCTCAAATCCCCATCTGATCTCAAAGTGTCACAATGTTGCTCCCATAATGGATACATCAAATGAGTAGAGGAGTAAATTCAGTATTTCATTTACTCCTCACTCCTGGCAGAGTGTGGGGCCTTTGATTCCTTCAAGAGTTATCCTTAGGGGTTGGCCCGGTGGCGTAGTGGTTAAGTTCACGCGCTCTGCTTCGGCAGCCCAGGGTTCACGGGTTTGGATCCCAGGCGGGACCTATGCACTGCTTATCAAGCCATGCTGTGGCAGGTGTCCCACATATAAAGTAGAGGAAGATGGGCATGGATGTTAGCCCAAGTCCAATCTTTCTCAGCAAAAAGAGGAGGATTGGCAATGGTTGTTAGCTCAAGGCTAATCTTCCTCACCAAAAAAAAAGAGAAAAAGTTATCTTTAGACATGATTAGAACTACCTTTTAAGCTAATTTAAAGGGTGAGTGAGATGGGCTTTGGGTATATTTAAAGGCAATACAGTGAATGGGTTTTGGAGGAGAGTCTGGGTTACAGGCATAAAATTATGGTTTAGCTAAAGAGTTACCCTTCTTAAACATCAGGAGTTTGAAATAAGTTAATTCAGAGAATCCGCTCATCATCCCAGCCTTACTGCCTCTTAAACTCTTCCTGATCCCATGAGCATTTTTCCTATGAATTCAGAATCTGGAGAATGCTGATGGCTTCCCAGCTAAAGGACAAATTACAGCAGTGCTGAGACAGAGAGCCAGAGCTATCCATTGTGACATTGCAGCCTAACTATCTGTTTAGTTAGTTTGTTTATTGTGTGCTTACTTTGTGCCAGGAACTGTGCCAGGCAGTTTCATTCCATATTTCCTTTACTCCTCACCATAACTCTGGGAAGTAAGTATTATTATTCCCATTTTTTAGTGGAGACAACTGAGGTTCACATATGGCCAGGGTCTCCCAGCTAGTTAGCGATGGTCCTGGGATTAATTCCAGGTCTGTCTGCCGCCAAAACTCATGCTCTGATTTCTGGGTTTAACTTCTGAAGTGGGTTGAAAACCACCGAGGGGAAGGACTCGCCCCCTCTGGCACCTTCCCAGCAGTCTCTGACTTTTTCTCGGCCCAGTTGAAGAATCCCTGTGGGGAAGTGTGAGCTGAGCAGATCTGTGTTAGACAATGCCCAGCTCCAGGAGTAGAACTTTGTGGGTGAGACGAAGCAAAGGCCATTTCTCCATTGGAGCAGGAGGTGAGCAGCAGCAGAAGCCCTTTGCAGATGTGTCCAGGTGGCCCACACTGTTCTTCTGAATATTCATGCATGACAGACTATACAGAAAGTTTCAAACTGCAGTAAAAAGGACTTAGGTTAGGCTCAAGAAATGCCTTCCTAAATGTAGTACACTGTGAGGGGTGGTGGGATGTGGCTGCAGGGCCTCCCCTAGAGGTTTGTGACCATGCTGGACAGCATGGCTATCTGGGGAGGGCTGTACAGAGCTCCAAGTATTTACCTGAGAGTCGTCAATTTGGCAGATCTCAAAAATATTCCTCAAACCACGGTGGCTCCTGAGATTGCTTACTCCTTCCCCTGCTTCTGGGGTGTTCTAAGAGCTGGAGAGTCTTTGGACTCCCCATCTCTGTCTTGTTTGGCATGGCAATCACCCCTCCTGCACTGCAGTCACTACACTCCCAGGGGCCACAGTTTAAATCTCTGCCAGAGCCACACACATCATTACCCTAAAAAAAAAAAAAAAGAAGAAGTAGGTTTTCTCCTTGCTTTTCCTGGGGCAGAGGTCCACCCTTTTCCCTCATCCTGATCATCTCCAGACCTCAGGCATCCAGACTGCCAACTGCCTGATTACCTGATGCAAATTAAGACTGCCTGCTTAACTGGGATTGGCTGGGGAGCCGGGTATGCAAATTGGCTCACCAAGACTTTATCTGGTTTGAAAGAGTTAAAGTGCCGCCCCAGAGCAGAGGGTGGGGGTGAAGGGGGGGCTAACATGATTTGAATAAAATATTCTTCTGTCTTTAACGGCTTCAGTATTTGGGTGGTTTAATAAGGAGAGGAGCAGAGAGAGTGAGTTAGTTCAAAGTTGCCTCTTTCCTTCTGTCTGTTGACCCTGGAGGACACTTAGGGGCCTCTTAGGTGGTGGCAGCTGTCTCTTGTGGGTAAATGTTTAATTTATTGAAATGAAGCAGGACAGAGAGGCCGGACCAGCAGCACTTGGGGGCTGAGACCGGGGCCTGGTGTAGCTCTTCTCCCTGTGCGGAGCACTGACCTGCCCGCCACCCCTTTCTCACTGAGCAAGTTAAAGGAGTAGGAGAGAAGGTAAGGATCCCCAAAGGGCAGGATCTCCAAGGAGGGTCACACAGGAGCTAGGGCTTGATCCCCAGACACTGGGCTGACCTCTGAGAACCAGACAGAGAACAGAGGCAGGAATTGAGGAAGAAAGGTGAGAAGGGCAAGCCTTGGTTCAAGGGTACTCTCACCTTCCTGGGTAGGGTTATTATAGGGGGAGAAGGGGAGATGGATATTTCTTATGTTACTTTGAAAAATAAAATAAATTCCTTAAATCCCAGAGGAAATGAGGATTGAGAATGAGAAGCATTCTCCCCCACCCCCCATCTCCACTGTACCCCTCCCCTTGTTAAATTTTTACCAACTGAGCCCAGTCGTAGAAGGAAGTGGTGATGAATGATGCAAAAGGTGAGAGACCCTGCAGTAGCGCTTGAGCATGGGAGAGAGAAAGGCGAGGGAAAGGAGGCCAGCATGGGAGGAGGGGTGTGTGCCCCCGAGCTTATGAATATTCTAATTGTCGTATGTGTGGGAATCCGGAATTTGAAAGTCTGATGGTTGTTGTAATTACACATTCATCTTTGCTGTTTCGTTAAAGCCACATACGTCCTAGCAAGAAAAGTTGTGACCTGCTATTAAAATCAGTTGTGTTTTCCCTACAGATATCAAGATGAGTGGGGATGTAGCGGATTCCACAGACGCTCGCAGCACTCTCAGCCAGGTGGAGACAGGTAAGGGTCTCTCTTCTGGGGAACGAACAGGAAAGCACTGGGTGGGCGGGAGAGAGTTGTTGCAAATTGTCAAACAATGTGGTTTCTCTTCTCACTTGGTCATTCAGCCAATCAGACCCAGATGCTGGGTCTTAGGAAGTGAAGGAATTCCCTAGAGACATGGGATATGACCCTGGAGCTCTGGAACAGCAGATATTAGTCTACAGTGGGACAAAATCTCTGAGACTAGGCTAGGAAAGGGCCAGATCCTTAAAAACAAAACAAAAAAGTTAGGGAGGAGATTCACTTCTTGATGTGCCATTCCAATGCCCCTAGAAGCAGCAGGCTGTGTTCCCAGCTGCTACTGACTGATGGAAGGCAGAACCTGCCTTCAGTAGATGGGGACTAGGGTCTGTTAACCCTAGATTTCTCAATAGTCCTACTCAGAGAACTAACCAAAGAGGCCCGTGTGCAATTGTTCCTCTTCCAAATTACGTGCATGTGGGTGGTAAGTGGACTCAGAGAGGAAGGCTTGGTGCCTGGAGATGACTTTACTTTGTGAAGAAGAGAAAGAGGACAGGGAAGAATTAAGAAGAAAGTTTTGTAGCTTTCTACTTTTAACTCCATAGTCCCCGCCTTGCTGTGAAAGCACCATATAATAAAGAAGAACTTAAAGAAAGATGAGTATAAATTGTAACACCACCAAATAACTTTAATAGCATCCCAACAAGACCTCAATTAGTCTTTCCTCTGGATCACTAGAGACAGAAATTTGAAGTGGAAGAGAATCGATGACCCCCAGAGCTAAAATCTTTGCATCTACAGGACGCATTGACCATAAACTTTTCTGCCCCCCCCCCCGTTTAATATTGAAACAGTGTCTATTTGCATAGTTAGAGCTACAGGTTTTATATTTTGCTTTGTGTATAGGAACACCTGGACTAGGAGAATGTGGGCCAGTTGCACCCATTTTAATTGATTTATTAGTTGGCTATGTTTTACTAAGGGTCTGTGGAGGGGGCACCTGTTCTCCCCACTTGACAAGAAAATGCCCTCCAGCCTCAAGAACTCAAGCAAGGCTTTGATATCAGTTCAGCTGGAGAGTGATGGGCGTGGTCTCTGCTCTGACACTCTTCCCTAGAGAAACATCAGAGTCCAGAAGCCATGATTCCAGAGAAGTTGAGTCACCCTTTCCTGGTAGCAGGCTGACTAGAACCAACTCTGTTCTCCTGGGCCAGGTATATTGCCCCAGCTGCGTGGGGGCACAGCTAGAGAGTGTCCATGTGGGAAGAAGACCACATTTAGGCTGGCACTGGTGCTCTGTTATCAGTTTTATGACCAAGCCAGGGTAACCATGTTGGGAGTGAGGAGGAGCTATATAGACCCTGAAAAGTGAGCCAGGAGACAGAGGGAGTTCAGATGCTGGCTGGGGGTTAGGAAGGTTAAGGTATTATGGACAATCTGAGTAAGTTCTGGCCTCCTATCTGGGACCGTGGGAGCTATGTCCAGACTAGATTGAATGAGAAAGAATCTGGACATAAGCTGGGACTTTCAGAATCTGTCATCCCAGAGTTACTGCCAATTCAATATATGACCTTAGACCAGCCACTTTGCCTCCCTAGGAGGTAGGAACAAATGACCTTTGAAGAGTATGGATTTAGGATCAAACAGACCTGGGATAAAAACCACGGCTCTGCTGCTTACTGGTTGTGTGATCTGATAAGTTAATTGAGCCTCATCTCTTCTGCAAAGGGGGACAGTTAATGCCCGTCTCACAGAGTGGGTTGAGAGTTAGCTGAGATGATGTTTAAAGCTCTTAGCACAGTGCTTGGCACATGGCAGCTGCGATCATTACCTCTAATGGCATCATTCAGATTCTGTGATTCTGTAATATACAGAATGAGCATGGCTGCTAAGCACTTTGGGGCTGCAGATAACTGGGGTGGTCCTCTCCCCTTCGTTCAGGCAGAGTGGGTCAGCCCTGGAGGTTGGTTTTGCTCTTTCACCATTCAGGAAAGGATTCTGTATGGGTCCTCCTCAACTCCAAGGAGACCGTGCTGTCTGGAACTTCTCCACTCCTAGATCCTTCACTTCCCGGGGCTCACCTCTGTGGCTGGTAGCATCCATACTTAGGTGATCATCAAATTACTGCATGTTTTTCAGGGCAAGAAAAAAGAAGTAGCTAATTAAAGTAACCAAACTTCCTGGAAAGTCGTTCTGACTCATTTTTTACAGAGTAAAGCTTATTATGAGTCACAATGGTTACCAACTTGGTTTAATGGCTTCCTTTGGATTTTTAAAAGGCAGATTCCCCTTCCCAGCAGTATATGAATTAAGAGGTGGTTTGTCTCTGGATTTTAAAGGAACTATAAACAAAGGTGACCTAGAAAGCCCCAGCTCCCTGTGAGCACCCTCTGTGTTGTGTGAAATCCCCAAGGGGCACTGGGGATGGGAGCTCGGAAGGGGAAGCGAATTTCCCCGTCTGCACTGGCTAGGACTGCAAAGGAGAGCATTCTCAGGTCCAGACGCAGACTTCCTGGTTGGTAGAGACCTGGCAGGGCAGCTCATCCTTCCCTTTCCTTCTGCCTGTGAGGAAGCCGAGGCAGAGACGGAGGATAAACTGCCCAAGGCCTCAGAGTGTGACAGCACTAGGGACCAGAGAAGGCTCTGAGGCCCCCCGTCCAGTGCTGTTTCCACACCCCCTGAGGACTGGAGCCAAGCTGTTTCCAGATTTCTGAACTATCACCTTCTCTATCCTTCCTTTTACCTCCCTACCTGTTGCTACTTTTCCTTCATTCTAGGGGCTGACAACATTATTTTCTGTTCTCAGTTGAGTGGTTGGTAAGAATATATAGCCTTACCCACATTTCAAAAGCCCCCAGGTCCGTAACTGACAACCACCAAGCACCTATGCAGTTCATCCTAGACATTTTGACCACAGTGGTCACAGCGTAGCCTCAAACCCAGGGGAGGACACACACGGTGGGCTCGGGAGGAAGGAGGGAAAGGCGAGTCACATTCACGGAGGCTGCTCACCATACCCGGCCACATGAACCTGTACCCAGAACTTTACATAACATCATCTCATTTCATTCCTGCAATCCCCGTTTTTATCAATGAGGAAATTATGCCTCAGAATGAGAAACTCACCTGCCCAGGATCACACCGCTTCTAACTGGGAATCAAACTCAGCCCTGTCTGACTCCAGGCTCTGCCATGAATTCCCTGCAGATTATTGGGCAAGTGTTCCCCACCGGACCTTTATATTCCTCCTCATAAAGGAGAGCCTTGGGCTGGATACTCTCTAAGGGCTGAATTTTAAAAAGATAAGTACACGGTTCTGCTTTTCCAGATTCTCTCCCATCAATTTCCATATCCTGCATCTGTGCGTAGCCTTCCTCAGCGCCGCGCTCTCCCTCTCCTCCCCATCTCCCTCAGCCCCTCACGGTCCCCTTTTTCTGATCTCTCTCCTCTGGCGTCTCCAGCTGCCTTGCTGTGTTCAGGCTCCGATCCTCTCCTCTAACCTAGCTGGTGGTGCCATAACCAACATCTCTGGAGCACACTTGTGTCAGAGCCCAGGCTCAGGAAGATGAAGCCCCTGTCCTCCAGGAGCTTTCCTCCTAGTGCAGGAGTTCATGGCGGAGTGGGTGACAGTGCCAACTTGTGACTGGAAGAGCACGCTCAAACACTTAATGCATTTGGCCTTTACAACAGTTTTGTGAGGGTAGATGGCACCATCCCACTTTGCAGGTGAGGACATTGAGGCTGGTGATAGGAAAGAATATTAGCTGATTTTCCCAAAATCCCATACCAAGCAAATGACAGCATTAAACCTGGGTCTTTCTAGTGATTTTCTACCCAAAGATGGTGATGGGAAGACTGAGGACCAAACGGGGACCAGGGACGAGGATACAAGAGAGTGGCAGCATCAGGGAGGTGCCATGATTGTGGAGGATGACCCCTGCAAAGGGGCTACGGGGGAGCCAAGCTCCTGCTGGTGGGTCGTCTAGTCCAAGAGGCAGAAACCATGCCTGGAGCCAAAATGTGCTTGTTGGGGAAGAGAGGGAAAGAGCTGGGCCAACCCTCTCCCTTCTGGTGAACTGTGGAGGGCAAGGATCTAGCCTCGGAAAGAACTTGCTCCTTCCCTTCTCTGGTCCTGAACCAGCCTCGCCAATGCACCAGCACCCCCACCCCTTGCAACGCTTCAGGCTCAGTTGTCATTTGACAGGGGGAGGGGGTGGGGTTGCAAACCCAGAGACCGTGGAGCAAATGCCTTGGCACCTTCGTCCTGCTCAGAGATCTGGGAAGGAAGGACTCCATGAGGGGAGCCCAGGGGGAGAAACGGGGAGCTAGGGATGAGGGGGACTGGAATCTGTCAGTCATCTCTTCCTGCTGCCCATCTTCTCCCGCTTCAATTGTCCTGTCTGTGAGGTGAAATGATTAACATCTGTCCCACCCCCCAGAAGGACCGCCAAGGCAAGTTAGCTGTTTGGGGACCCTTTGCAGAAAGTCTCCTCGCTTAACTCAGGGAACTTTTGGCATGGTTTTAAGAAGGAATTGACATGATTACACAGGGAGCCCAGAGAGGTTAGTGATTTTCCTAAGGTCCCAGAGAAAGAATGAGTAACTGACCCAAGACTAGCAACTCTCCCTCCCTCAGTTCATTCCCGGGACCTCACCGTCTCCACCCTACTCAGTCCCGAGAAAACGAGCTGAGGATAAAGAAACTGTGTCTCGTCACGACCAAGAGGTGAGGTTCCAGGCAGAAACAGGCAGAAGACTTTTAGAGATGTGTGTGGTTTTCAATCCAAATATTTATTGAATAAAACTATTCTTTCAATGACAGAGAGGACAAGAGAAATCCAGGAAGTACTTGAAGGAAGGCAAGCCTTGGGGGATGGTGCAGAAGAGTCTCCTACTGACAGCCCTTTCTAAATGAGGCACATGTGCGCGTGCGCGAGCGCACACACACGCACACACCCTTCCTTTTATGATTAAATGACAGTGGGTGTGAACGCACT